ACCTCAACAGATCCCAGTCCCATCCTCTCAGTTTGTACACAAGCCCTTTGCAGCAGGGCTGGCCTGACAGGCTCCAACTGTTGGACTCTCTGTACAGCAATCAGAGTTTGATTAAACAAATTGCTGCAGAATCACAGGGGGTCTAGCAGCATCTGTGGAGAGAGAAAAATGGAGTTAACACTTCAAGTCCAGTGACCCTTCTTGTATTCTACAGAAGGGACACTGGACTTGAAATGGTAACTCTGCTTCAGGTGCTGCCAGACCTGCTGAGTTTCTCCAGCAATCTCCTCAGTTTGGGACCAGGGGTGCACACGAGGCAGTGGATTTACAAGCTGAGGCAAACTGGGAGTCTCCGAAGAAAAGCAATTTGAAAGTCAAGCCAGTCACCATTTTAAAAAAGGTAAAGGGACTTGTTTAATTCATAGAGAAGACTCTGGGCAAACCAACTTCTAAAGCAGACTGTACCTTGACCAGCATATTGCAAACCAACTGTAAACAATAAAAAAAAGTCTCAAGAAAATGAGATCCATCAGAAAGGCTGCCCAGAGTGCAATTAGAAGGCAAGGGCCAATAATAAATAAACCAAGAGTAAGATATCACATTACAAATTAATCAGAATAAACTGATAAGCTTTTCTATTAGCCCCAATAGTCACGAACGATAGCACACAGGTGTGGCCTGGCAGTGTGGAGGTGACCCCCAAGTTTGTCCCTTCAGTCAATCTCTTAGAGATCTCGAAATAAATGGTTATATTAAAAAAAAAGATCAGCTGGTGCCAGCCAATGGAGTTGATGTGGATTGTTACAACTTCTAGACTATCCACTTGATAACCTCCCATCCCTGACCCAGAAAGATTCACCGACAAGTGGATTTACTTCACAATGTACGTTTGGAAGAATTACTTATCAGCAGTTCTGACCAACACACAAACAGGGACGTGCACTTTGGAAGTTGATCTGAACTGTGCTGCAAGGTTGGAGTAACTTAAAAACAAAACCCTCCCACAAGAAAAAAAAGACACACACGGGACAAGTTTGATCTGTGGACCAAACTGACCAGACAGCACTTCCTTCATTTGAAAACTACTGAGAACGAACAGCTACCAGTTCAAATGAAGGTTTTGTATTCAAAGTACTGACTTCTCTCCCTGCAGCAGATGCAACTTGTTGACTCTCAGCAATTTCTGCTGGACTGGCCCAAAAAGGAATTTCTGGATATTGTACGATTTGTACAGCAGTGTACCTGCACAAGTCACCTGGCCTTGGGTGACAGCTCAAGGGCTTATGATTAATGTGATTGACAGCTATGTACCTGAAGCATGGTTACGCATGGCTGAGGGTATCAGGAATGGATCCCCACCCAAAATACACATTGTTAATATTTAAAACTTCAAATTTGCTAATTTATGTAAACCTCAGTTCCAAGAATTGAATTGGATCAGACATGCAGTGAACACAAGACTTATCATTCTAGAATATTTCATCTGCGTCCCAACTTCATTCCCCACTCTACAAATTCCAATGGATGTGGCAATGAACTGAAGCTTTCTCTAGTTTCTGGATAACAATACTTCCAGGCTATCGAGATGCTGTTTGCTCAGCCACGCCACTTTAGATCAAAGTAGATCAGGGTCACAAAAGACCGATCACAGGACGAAAGTCCACAGAGATCCTGAACGAACGCAGCTTCTTTTGGCAATTCTCTATCTTCTGGTTAAATGCTGACGGACAAGCAGGGAACCAACAAAAGGTCAGTGTCCACTGAGGGCTATATTCACCAGGTCCCACCTACCGGCTGTTCAGGGTTTAACCACACTAAAGGAAAGACATTGGTAGACTTGAAACACAGAATCACCTCAGGATGGAATTAAACTAGTTAAAAATAACCCCTTCCCAAACACTGCTACTGCCCCACAGATAGCAGAACTGCTACAGGTCATTTCAGCCCATAATGTAAAGTGAAGTGACTTATCTGTGCATTGTAATAGCAGCAAAATTTCCTCTGCCACCTACCAATAGTCAAAATGTACAAAGGAACAAAGGCTGAAAGGTTAGTTTGGGACCGAGATGGGGACACGACAGTCTGGAGAAGGGGGGCTGGGGAGTGGGTGTTTAGTGTACACCAACCTAGGGCGAGAGGCTGAAATGCTACCCCAGCAACGCACAGCCAAAACCCATTTGAAGCTGTCCAAGACAGTTGGCAACCAGCCAAAGACGTGTGGTCCTGCCTTTATTCGACATTGGAAGGTTCACTTGCCAGGAGGAGAAGAGATGGCTGTCGAAGATTCCACCCTGGGGCTGGGGGGTGTTATCAGCAGTCTCGTTTTTTTGTCCTCATGCTGACTCCGGCTTGCATGGCTGTAGCAAATCAGTCGTTCACTAGACAGGCCCGAGTTGTCTTGTGTCGTATTGTTCCTCTTTCATCCCCATGCACGCACACACACACACACACACACACACACACACACACACACACACACACACACACAGTATAAAAAGATTGCACTGTGATTGTTCGCAGGAACTGTTTTAAATGCCCCAAGAGCAGAGTCTCGACCCTCCAGGCATCTTGGCGTAGGGTCATATACTGTTTTCCAAAGTGTGGTTCAAATTACGGTTCAAAGAGTTCTGCTCGTTCAGAAGGTCCGTGGTTTCGTCTGCTATAGTCTCAGGTTTCTCCAGTTTGATGTCGACTTTTGTGTGGGCGTTGTCCGGGGACTGTGGAGTGCTGTCTATCTTTGACGCCAGTAACCCATTCTGGTACTGCTGCCGTGTCACCTGATCATTTCAACAAAGAATGAATTAACCGCAGCCATTCACACAATAACCAAATTGGCAGAGCACAAATAAACACGCCAGAGAGTTGGCATGAGGCATACACGCTATGGTGACCAGACCTGTAATGCAGAAGCTCAGGCTAATGCTCTGGAAATATGGGTTCAAATCCCATCATGGCAGCTGGGGGATAAGGGGAGAAATTTGAATTCCAATCAATAAAATAAAAACTGCAATTTAAGGTTATGATTAAAAACATCCAGACCACTTATCTTTTAAGATGAGGAAGTCTGCCATTCATACCTGGTCTGGCCTACATGTGACTCCAGATACACAGCAATGTGGTTGACTCTGACAGCCAAAGGATAACTAGGGTTTGGCAAAGGACTGTGGCACCCACCTCCAGAACCTGAAATCAATGCCACGATCGGCATACCAATACCATGCGCAGAGCCTCAGAGCGCCTGCATGCACTCAGCCTAAAAGGAATGTTGCCTGCACCTCATGAAACGATAAAGCAAAAGCAGAATTTGTGCCATGGTGATGCAAGCTTACTGGCCTGAAGCACTCACTGTTTTTCTTCTCTCCAAAGAGGGTGCCAGACCTGTTACCCGTTCTCTGCAATACCAGGTGGCTTTTTTTTTTTTTAAAATGATTGCATATTTCAGGATCATGCCCAGCTTATAAATCCTCTGCAGTCAATTAAACTATATTCTCAGTCAGTCAGCACAATAGCTGATGATCAATAGCAGCAATACCACCCAAACACCTTGCGGGGGAGCTGCCGAGCTTCAAGACCAATTGCTACACAGCAATGCCACGGGCTGGTTTTGAGTAGTATTGCAGCCCCAATCCTAAACCATTGAGAAACAGGATTCTCTGGCTTGGCCAGCATTTATTGCTGATTTATCCTGGAGATGGTGGCGATGGACCCACGTCTTGAATGATGTTAGGGAGGGAGTTCCAGGATTTTGACCCTATACCACTGAGGAAACAATGATATATTTCCAAGTCAGGATGGTGTGGGGCTTCAGAGGGTGGCAGTCCCATTTAGGTTCTACCCTTGGCCTCCTAGCTGGTAATGGTCATGGGTTTGGAAGGCGCTGTCTAAGACGACTGTGTGAATTTCTGCAGTGCATCTTGTACCTGGAACACCCTGCTGCTGAGTGGTGGTGGTGGAGGGAGTTAATGTTTGTGGATGTAGTGCCAATCAGATGGGCTGCTTTGTCCCGGGATGGTGTCAAGCTTCAGGAGTGTTGTTGGAGCTGTCCCCCTTCAGGGCAAGTGGGGAGCATTCCATCACACCCCTGACTTGTGCCTTGTTGGTGGTTGGACAGGATGCGGAGAATCAGGAAGCGAGTTACTTGCTGCAGGATTCTTAGATGTAAACCTGCTGTAGTTTGGTCCAGTTCAGTTCCTGGTCTATTGATAGTGGGACATTCATTGATGGTAGTATCATTCAATATAAAGGGGCAATGGTTAGATTCATTCTTGTCGGATATGATCATCACCTGACAACTGCAGCGTGCAAATATTGGCTGCCTCTTACTAAACCAAACTTTAATATAATCCAGGTTTAGTTGTGCATGGGCAGAGAGTGCTTTGAAGGGAATAATGCTGAACATTGTGCAGTCTGATTTTGGGACTGCACAGAAAGGCAGGGAGTGCAAGTGGCCTCCTCTACACTGTAATCATTCAATGGTTTGAGGTGCTAGTTTCAATGGAGCTCTCCCAAACCTTGGGCTGCGTCTGTGTGAAGAGGGTTGGGTGATGGCTGGATCAAAAGACTGGAGGAGCCTGGTTGTCACCAAAAGAAGAAGTGGGGGACAGGAGAAAGGGCTCTGATTATCCACAAAGTATACGCTGAATTAACCCACATTAAATTATTTTATATTCATAGTGCCAACACTGCATGGGTCTATTTAAAGGGTGAAGTAAAACAGGAGTAAAACCAATTAGACTTCAAATTGAAGTTCTGGGTACCACACTGTGTGAACGATATCAAAGACTTGGAGAAGGGGAGATGGGGAGTTCCAGATGATATGAGAGACCAGGGATCTCACTTGCATGTCCAGACGAGAGAATTTGTGATCGTTCTCCCGAGAGTGGAGATGGCTAAAGGCAAATTTATGACAAATACTCAAAATAGGCCATTAAATGCATTGATGCAGTTAGGGAGGAATTGTTGACATTGGCAGGAGGATCAGTCACTTGTGAGTAAACATGAAATTATAATAATCTGGTAGCAGGATCAGATTCCAACAGTAACTTGAAAAACAGGGTTGGATAAATACCTGAGGGGAAAAATGTGCAGGATCATCAGAAACAGCAAGAGGTATGGGTCAAAGTGGTTCACCCTATCAGAAGAGCAGGCACAGGCTCGAGGGGCTAAATAGCTCCCTTTGTTGCTGCCCAACCCAGAGGCCTCTTACCTTGACGTACTGCAGGTCAGTCAGCGCCCTCACAGAGAAATCCGGAACATAGTGCGTCGAAGGGGTGGGTGAGACGACGGACAGTGTAGATTCCGAGCGCTCTGCGTAGCTCAGTGAGACAGACCGACTCAGCTCACTGGTGCGAGAGGACGGTCGGGTTTCTGAGGAGAAACAGAGGGCCCAAAAGAATCAGTGTCTGAAATGGGTAGTGCAACTCTGGGCAGGTCTGCACAGCACAAGGCAGCTCAGCAGAAGGGTCAGTTTGGGTGACCAGATCTTGCTCAAGAATGACAGACGCACACAGGAAACAAATCTTTCACCACATGCAGTGCAGATGAACAGTAATTAGTGAAAAGCATGCCCAAAGATGTTGCAGATTAAGACTCAGTGTTATTAGTGCTAGCACTCTTTAGACATCATCCAACACTGGCTTCCGCTGCCCTATATCCTCATTCAGCGTGTGTCCTTACAGTTGTTCTGCCTCCCCAGAACCTTAAACCCCTGAGCAGTCTTGGCCCTTCCCACCTTCAGTGTGTTCTGGCACGTTAGCTTAGTCACTGGTCAGATTTTCTCCTCTTTTTGCTCTCTTTAATTTTGATGGTCTTTTGCACAACAAAACCCTTGCGATCAAGGACTATAGAGAAATCACCGTGCGGTTACAAAACAAGCTGGAATTTGTTTTAAACAGTGAAGGCTATTCTAAAGCATGCAGAGTAGCAAATGTCTGCAACTCACTTCCCTGCAGAGAACAAACAGCAGCAAAGCAATCATTGCAGGTGCAAACAGAGGTGAATTAGAGACCACCTTTCATTAGGTACCACAACCACAGAACAGCTACTCTGCAATAACAAGATGCCAAATCCTAAACAATTTCAGCCAAGATTTCATTTTTTCCAAAACCCAGGCTATTTGGAGATTGAATCTTGGGAAATAATGACCTTGTTCATTGCTGTTCTAACAGACTAAGAAAGGGTTTGGAGGCTCCAAGAAACCGTAAGAGAGGTGCAAGTTTCATAGTTTGACAAGAATCAGCTTCCCAAGGCATGAATACACAGTAGGATGGACATGACGAGCAATGTTCGTTTGAGGCGGAGAGAGCGAAGTGTTGGTAAATTAGATGGCCAGTAAGGAATTCATTCTAAATTGAAGAGTGAGAGACATGTTGCAAAAACTGAGTGTCTTGTGCTCATCAAGTCAAATGCAAGAATTTCAAATAACAACAATCCTGGTTGACTAAGGCATTGCCATGGGTAGTTCTAGAATAGATACCCCATGCCAAGGAATTAACAAAAAAAGGAACAAAGCTTGAACACATTCTTTTGTTTACCAAGAAAATGTCCCTAAACCTGAACTAATGTCATTACTAACAAGCATACATGCTACAAGCTCAACTGATTATCTCAACTTGGTTGTCATCAACATACTAAGATGTTCATGCAAATGCTGCCCATCACTGCCATTTGCAGTTTGGCATTCCTGCATTTGTCCTGATGAGTACTCGATTCAAATTCCAGTTTGTTTGTTGTGTTCATCCTCGTTGCACTACACAGTTCCTCAAGATTGACATCCAGCTGCGCATGCACGTATCTTAAAAGAAATGGCGAAGACATTGTTCCCATTGTTACACCATTCTCATGGTTCTGTGATCGTGCAGCTTACAGGGATCATCAGCAATGACAGTTACTTTCCACAACACCTCTTTTTTCCAACAGCAACCATTGATCATCACTGCCTCAAGACTTGACGTGGAGGTTTTTGCCAAATTCAGAACCTCCCTTACCCCAGAATACAGGCAGGAAGGGCCCGATCCTTCACACCAGGAGAGATGTGAGCAGTACTGGATCCCACACTTTAGGAAGGACTTGAAGGGATCACAGTGTAGCCTCATCAGTATCATATCTGGGCAGCAAACATTAAGTAAGAGATTATACAAACTGACACTGTACTCCCATGAAATTTTCATCAAATTTTCTAAATTCAAGTTAAAAAGACCAGCTAGAAAGAAACTATTTCTGCTGGTTGAGGAGTGAGTGGAGGGGCACAGTTAAAGTCAGACTTTTCAGCGGTGAAATCAGCTAACATTCCTTCAGGCAGCAGAGGAACAGGAAAACCAGTGTTTCAGGTCAGGACCCTTCGTCAGAACCAGAGTCCTGATGAAGGGTCCCGGCCCAAAACTGCAACTTTCCTGTTCCTCTGATGCTGCCTGACTTGCTGTGTTCCTCCAGCTCCACACTGTTTACTCTGCCTCCAGCATCTGCAATTCTTGCTATTTCTAACATTCCTTCACACAGTGGATGCTAAAAGTTTTGAACTCTTTTCCTCAAACAAGAATTAGGTTAGTTGTTAAATTTAAAACTCAAAATTGATACTTTTTGTTAACAAAATCTGACAGGTATGCATACGCAGTTAGTATTTTTTTTAAGTGGGGAGGGATTGAGTTTGAGATGCCTTTCTTAGTGAAAGGGTTTCTGCTCTTCCAGTACTGAATCCAGACAACTTAGAGACAGGTCGTGGGAGGCGACAGAGAAGTCAAGTTGCGTACGACCAGGGCACATGCGGACATTGTCTGCTAACAGTGGCAATGTTGTACAGGGGCATCAGGTAGTTCAGAAATAGAAGGATACGTTCTCAGGAGCCACCCACAGGTAACTATGCAGGAGCAGGAAGTGATACCACTGCAGGTGATACTGCAGCTACAAATGAACAGCGAAGAATGAAACCAGGTGAACACACTGTCACAGAGCTGGATAACCACGGCGAGGTGCCCAAGGAGGACAGTGTGGTCAATGGCATCAAATGCTGCAGACGGATCGAGAAGGACAAGGACAGAAGAGCTTAACCATGGCCAAGGGCACATGGTCACAGGAATAGATTTGGGAATCAGTAATGATCCAGGAATATGGGAGAGGAAATTAAAGATGCTGGTGTGGCATTATTTGACAAGAACAGATCAACTGCTGTTTTTGTTTCGATGAGAAAGGTGATGACAGATTTGATTAAGAGGGACACAGCACAAAAGGAGAGGCACACATAATATCATTTGGGTTCGGGGGGAAGAAGTTAGGTTACAGTCCAAAAGATTTAAATCGCCAGGAGGACAGGGCACAAAGATAAAGCCATGGCCTGTGATGATGCCCCAAGTCCTAGGGCATCTGAAAGGCAGCAGTATGGACCTACCCTCATGATCGCACATTCTCCAGGCAGAAGGGTAACAGAGGAGGTTAAAGCTAAAAACTAGGAACGCCATGCAAGATTTACCTTGGAACCAAGAAAATAGGGAAGGCCGTTTGAGGCTGCAAGTATGGAGCCTGGAGGTGGGAACTGGGAAATGAAGACCAAGAGGGGGGGGAGCGAGAGAGAGAGAGAGAGAGAGAGAGAGGGGGAGGGGGGGAGAGGGGGAGAGAGAGAGAGAGAGAGAGAGAGAGAGAGAGAGCGAGAGAGAGAGAGAGAGAGATAGATTAAACTGAACAAAACCCGAGGAGGTAAGCATTCGCTTTACTGGTGTTCGGCAAGGAAAGGATCAAAGGCAACAGACACATCGACAAAACCTCTCGATATTTCAAAGTGTCCCCAAGTATTTCACCATGTATAAACTGCTTGAGGCATGGTTACTGCATGAAACATGGCAGACAATGTGCGCTTAGCTGGCTCCCACAAATAGCCACGTAACAGCAGCCAGATCATAGAATCCCTACTGTCTGGAAACAGGCCATTCACCCCATCGAGTCCACACCGACCTGCCAAACAGCATCCCACCCAGACCCAGCCCACCACTGACACCCTGGAACCCCACATTTCCCAAGGCTAATCCACCTTGACTGCATATCCCTGGACACTACAAAGCAATTAGCTATGGCCAATCCACCTGACCTGCACGTCTTTGGACTGTGGGAGCAAACCGTAGCACACAGAAGAAATTCATGCAGACAAAAGGAGAACTTACAAACTCCACACAGTCGCCCAAGGGTAAAATCGAACCCGGGTCCCTGGCACTGTGACGGCAGCAGTGCTAACCACTGAGCGATCATGCTGCTCTAATCCTGATAACCAGATCTTTATTCCCCAGTCCCATGTTATGTTGGAAAAAGGATAAATATTGGATAGGACATTGGGGTGAACTCCCCTGTCCTTCAAAACCTGGATAAAAATAACAGTCAGACTCAGCTGGAGTACTGCACCCAATTCTGGGCACCACTTTTAGCAGGAACGTGAAGGCATCAGATGAGAATGGTTCCAAGGATGAGGAATTTCAGTTACTTAGCAAGACAGGAGAAGTTCAGACTGCTGTCCTTGGAGAAGGAGATGTCAAGACCAAATCTGAAAGGTTTTCAAAATCAAGGGCCGCCTGGACAAAACAGACATGATTTATTACCCAGTCCTAACTGCTCCCGAGGAAGTGTTGGTGATCCTTCTTCTTGAACCACTGCAGTCCGTGTGCTGTAGGGGCACCCACACAGTGCCATTAGGGAGGGAGTTCCAGGATTTTGACCCAGCGACACAGAAGGAACAGCCCATATATTTCAGAGTTGGAATGGTGAGTTGCTTGGAGGGGAACTTGCAGGGGGTGATGTTCCTATGTATCTGCTGCCTTTGTCTTTCTAGATGGAAGTGGTCGTGGATTTGGAAGGTGCTGTCTAAGGAGCCTTGGTCTGTTGCTGCAGTGCATCTGTAGACAGTACACATTGCTGCTACTGAGCATCGGAGGAGGAGGGAGGGAGTAGATGTGGTGCCAATCAAGCGGGCTGCTTTGTCCCTGGATGGTGTCAAGCTTCTGGAGTTGTTGGAGCTGCCCCCATCCGGGGCAAGTGGGGATTATCCTATCGCACTCCTGATTTGTGCTTAGTCGATGGTGGGACAGGCTTTGAGGAGTCAGGACGGGAGTTACTCGCTGCAGGATTCCCAGCCTCTGATCTGCTCTTGTAACTGCAGTATTTGTATGAAGAGTTCAGTTCAGTTTCTGGTCAATGGAAACCCCCAGGATATTGACATCTGGAATTCAGCGATATAGTTATGGCATTGACTATCAAGGGGTGATAGTTCAATTCTCTTGCTGGATGGTCACTGCCTGGCACTTGGGCAACTAGAAAAATTCATGTCACATACCAATCCAAGCCTAAATGACAAGGTGAATCACTTGTGCTGACAGTCAGCGCTAGACACAAACAGACCAAATGGCTGTCTCCTGTGCTGTACTGAATCATTCTATGATCCTTTCGATGGGTCAGCCTCCGTTCTGTGCTCAGGTTACTGCAATGGGATTTAATGGCACAAACGTATGACCCAAGACGGCAAGGGTAACTACTCACTGAGCCATCTTGCAGGGCTAGAAACCAGGAAGAAATCCTTCACTCCTAAAATGACAGTGGGAACCAGGAACTCCCAATCTGCAAAGTCAAGGCTGATGGAATGGTGGGGTCACTTAAATTTTCATTACTCAACAGTGTGAAGGATAACCGAACCAAAATGACTAGATGGAGTTATGACACAAATCAGCCACAATTTCTTTGAACGGACAAAAAGCCAAGAGGTTCCCCGTTTACATATTTCTAACATCTCGTGGACAGAAAGCGAATAACACTTCGAGTCGAGACAACTCTTCAGAGTCATCTAGAGTCAAAACATTAGTTTTCTTTCTCTCCATTGATGCTGCCTGATCCGCTGTCAAAGCCAGCGATGGTTTGTTTTCAGTGCATATTCCAGCATCTACAGTAATTTGCTCTAACATCTCGTTTCTGGGTTTCGTGAGTTTTGATCTTCTGTAAACTTATGGTAAAAAGAGAGAAACGTTCTTACCCAAAGTGGGACTGCTGAGGGCCATGGTACCATAGTAGGAAAAGGGTCCCGTCTCAAATTTCATGTCTTCTTTGCCAGCCTCTGCCTCCACTTTACCCTGAGGTATAACAACATTTACTTCAAAAGGACATAGGCCAGAAGCCACAGACTTAAGCAGTGCACCATTAGAAACATCGCAAGCACTAATCTCGACACCTTTCTCAGAGCTCTTTCTCTCCCTGCCGCGTCCCCCGCCACCCGCCACTTCCCTAATCAGCATCGTGAGACTTCCTGATATGAAGTTCCCTTCCTTATTCAATTCTAGGAAGGTCTAAATACCATCATTAGAGAAGGGCTCAATCCTGGCCATGATGCCCAAAATCAATCAGGATCTTTGCCCGACGTAACCCAGGAAAAGTACGATTAACACAATTCCCATCAGGTGCAGCACGGACAGGGAATGAGCCCAGGACTAGACACAGCGCTCTGAACAATGGACAAGTCTTTTCCTGACTATCTTTGTCAGTATATTCTAAGGTGGATTGTGCATGGAGACTGAGCTGGTTAATGCTGGGGTGTAGTATTGCTGAGGACAGTCTGCCAGAGGTGGGAAAAGGGCAGTTTAAAAGGGCAAATTAGGCATTTCGGCAACTCCATCTGTATTGTGGCTTTGAAAAATAACGTCCCATGCTACTTGACAGCAACACAGCAGACAAGAATCTGACACTGAGCCAAGCTAGCAGAGCTGAGGTCAGATGACTAAATCGTTGGTCACAGAACTAAGCTGAAAGGAACATCTTAAAGAAGGAAAGAACAATTGAGAGGTTTAAAGAGATCACAATGGAGTGATTAAAAATCAGGGAAGTGCTGGGGGCGGGGGGGGTTGCAGAGTTACAGCACAGATACCATGAAGGGTTGTAGGGCCAGAGATAGGGAAGGAGGCAGAATAGGCTGGGGCTATTTTCCCTGGAGCAGAGGCTGTGGGGTGACCTTATAGAGGGTTATAAATTAAGACAGGCATAGATAGGGTGAATAGTCAATGTCTTTCTTCCCAGGGTGGGGGAGCCCAAAACTAGAGGGCATAGCTTTAAGGTGAGAGGGGAATGATTTAAAAGTTACCTGAAGGGCAACGTTTTCACACAGAGGGTGGTGCATGTATGGAATGAGCTGCCAGAGGCAGTGGTGGAAGCTGGTATAATTACAACATTTAAGAGGCATCTGGATGGGTACATGATTTGGAAGGATTGAGGGGATATGGGCCAAATGCTGGCAAATGGGACGAAGTCAGACTGGGCTGACTGGTCAGTGTGGACGAGTTGGGACTGAAAGGTCTGTTTCCGTGCTTTATGAGAATTTTAAGCAGGAAGATGACACTGGCCACTGCAGGTCAGTGAGCAAAGAGGGTGATGCGTTAACAGAAATTTGCACATGTTGGGGACCAGACAGTAGATGATTGGATAAACTGAAGCAAATGGAGGCCACGTTGGGGGGCTGGTCTGGAGTGCATTGGAATCGTCACATCTGGAGGTGGCAAAACTACGGGCAAGGGTTTCGGCAGTTGACAAGCCAAGGTAGGACAGGAGTGGACAATAGGGCAAGCTAGAAGCAGGTGACAGAGCTGAATGGGCTAGAAGGTTAACACAGGGACAAATGACATGCAGAGATTACAAGCAGTCTGATGCAGTCTCAGACACTGACCGAGAGAGTCAATGGCATAGGAACAGAGTTGGAGTGAAGGCCAAATGTAATGTAAGCCATGCTGGCTTTAGTTTAATCTTTCCCACCCAGGCACAGATCTAGTGGTGCAGCATCTGTCTGCAGCCCAGTTTCAGATTGCAAACCGGGAGGGAGTTTTCACATGAGATAGCCAAGTGAACCAAGGTGGAGAAGCCACTTACCTGTAAAATGAGGACAAAGTAATCGACTGCCTTGCCACGCACGTACAGATAGTGGTCAGCAGCCAGTTTGTTGCTCTCGTCAAATTTGATCTCATTGATGACGTCGGGATGTTTGAGGAGTCGCAGCAGAATCTTCTCAGAGATGTGGGCAGGGGCAAAAAGACTGACCTCTGCAAAGGAGAGTGGAAATGGTCAAACAAGCAGCTCAGAGAAAACCACAGCACCGTGTTCACAGCTTAACTTGCAAGTCCTATCCACCCCACCACCGCTCACCGACCTACACGGATTGCCAGTTAAGAAACATTTTGAAGTTCTCCACTCATTGACAAGCTCCAGATCACAGCAACCAACACTTTTGCAAAACCTCAGTTTTATGTATTCTGCCTCACTCTCCAATAGCCCCAACCCCTCAATCCTAACCAACCCTCACGTCGCCCACCTCCTCACACAAGTCTATTTCGCAATGGCTCCCAAGGATTAGTTTCAGAAATGACACAGCATTGCTTCAGTTTTTATGTGGTGTGATTGAGCTCAACCACATCTCCCGCAGCCCATGCTCATAGTGGGGGCAATCATAGGGTTCCCATGGTGCCCCCACCCTAATAAGGTTCAAAGCGCGTGGGTCATCTGTCCCCAAGGGAATGGTGGCCAGAGGGACATGGAGCCAGAGGTCTCAATGACAGACCCTCACGCCAAGCTAACCAGCCTGCTGTCTCGAACCGAATGCAAATCAAAGAGGGGAGGAGATTCAGAAAAAATGGCTGATCTATGTATTTTGCCCAAATCGTTGCCAAGTTATTGGAATAACAAACAGGTTCCTGTTCCAGCAACCGCACCGTGTTTTTCCCACAGTCCGAGACAGACAAGATGGGTAATTGCCTGGATCCCTGTAATTATGTCATGACTTGCGGGTGACTGTGTTCTCTGAGCTCATCTGTCTACACAGCTCAGCAAACACAAAGTGCTTTTACAATCTTAATATCTGAAACTCACTCAATCGTGGCAGTGAACAAACATACACGTGGAGACAAGCTTCAATCACCCCTTCACTCACTGAACTATATTGCCTAGTCCAACAACCCCTCAGAAGTTAAAATTCTCACGGGGTTCAAATCCCTCCCATAGTGTCACCCCACCCAAAACCTCCATCAGCCAGACAATCCTGTGAGATACCTACAACTCTGTCCACTTAAACATCCCCGATTTTAAACTGGCACATTATTGGCGGGCCAGCTTTCAGCAGCTTGGGCCCCTAAATACAATTCCCTCCCTTAACCTCCGTCAAGACTCTCAAAATATCTACCTTGAACGTATTACGTGGTTCAGTCTCATTTCTTGTTTGATCAACCATGATGGTAGTGCCTTGGTGCATTTCACCACGGTAAAAGAAGACAAGCCGCTGAGAGGTTTACTTTAAGTTCTGCGGATACTATAGGGCACATCCAGAGGCAGTCCCTTATTGTGAGACACACACCACCACGGTCTCAGCCAAACGATCAAATCTCACTTCAGAACATCATTCCAGTTTTCTAATAAAATTATAACTTTACATGGAATTATCAGAATGCTGAGGCCCTGTGTATCCATGGCACCTCAGAAAACTTAATTCCATTCCTCTGGTCAATTATTTTTGATCCTCAAGCACAACTGCATTCCCTCTTCATAAAAAATATCAAATTTGCTCACACCATGCTTTCAGTCAGAGGCCAACAAATGCGTAAAGCAGCTTTTCAGCTCCTCCTGTGCTTTTACACAGCAAGTTCGCAGCCCCTCCTCCTGTGCTTTTACACAGCAAGTTCACAGCCCCTGGACGGGCTGGAGGTTCGAAATACAGACTGGGGCCGAGGGAGCGTGTACTCCACCTTTCAGGTCCTGAAAGGTGAGGAGCAGCAACCTACCGCAGGGGTTTGAAAGCAGCCACTTACCTGTCGACAGGAAGCGGTGGGCAGCCAACAGCAGCTGCGGGGACACCTTGACTTTCACCTCATGGACAGTGGGTTTGAAAACAGAGAAGTCCCGTTTCTTGCTGTTGTGAACAACCTTCTGCTTGGATCGATTGTCGGCTGGAAAAAGTAAAAGGCAACAGGAGGGCAGCTTATAAACTAGATCAAAATCAACATCCCCCACAAAAGATTCTCCTGACCCCTCGACTCAATCCTACCGCCAAAACAAAAAAGCTCTGGTTCGGACACGTGGAGCAACACGCTCCCGTCTGGCCGGCCGCTCCTACGAGAACGGATATTTTGGCCTTGGAAAAAGCAAAGTGCAGGATCACCAGGATGCTAACAGGGCTGGGTTCAGACAATTGGCTGTCTTCCCTGTGGCAATAAAAGATTAAGAAGTGATCTAATTGTTGTGTTTGAGATAAAGAAAGGGTTTCCTAAGGTAAAGAGAAACCATTTCTTCTGGCGTGGGGTATTCGAGAAAAAAGGAAATTGAAACGCACACAGAGGGTAGTGGAAATTGGAGCTCTCCACACTCCCACAAAGTTGTCAAGGCTGGCAGTCACTGAGATTGACACATGGTTAGACATTGCTATCATGGGCAGGGAGCCATGGTAGTTCAAATAGAGTTAAGACACAGATCAGTCTGGTTGAACGATGAAACTGGCTTGAAGGGATAAACAGTTTCTGCTTGCCCCATGTTCTAATCTTCACATGTATGAAAGCAACTCACTGAATATGTCTGATTCGTCAAGAATTTCTGATTTGATGATTTCTTCAATAACATCCTCCAGGGTGACCAGGCCCAGCACCTCGTAGAAAGGATCTCCCTCACCTTCACTGTTCACCTTCTGTACAATCGCCAGGTGCGATTTACCTAATAGCAGTGGAAATTAGAGAGGAATGTAAAACAAACAGCGCTAACACTCAAAATTCTCACTGCCATCGGAACGGAGGGGAAAAAGGAACTGAAACTTTGTTTATACCCAGTACTTGTGCAACACAGTAAACCTTCCTCTGCACTGTCTGCCAACACTCCTAGGAAGGGGATAGCCCAGATAAGAATCAGTGAAGCTCCCTCTATAATGTCTGTAGGCTCTATCATTACCCCAAAGTCATGTACTTTGGGTGCATGCCTGTAGGCAGCAATCAGGCATGAGTCAGCACTTTCTAAAAGCTGTCTGATTAGCCCCTCTTCGGAGCATTCCTCAGCACCTGACAAATTTTTTAAAAACTTTTACTTTCATTGCCCCTTCAGATAGTACATATTAGATCATAACTCGAGAGAAATATTATCACCACCTCAATTTCCGTCCCCGACCCCGATTGCTAACTATCTCCCTAGCAGAAACAATTTCTCTCTATTCGCTCCATCAAACTCCCTCAAGGCTTGGAGCATCTCCATTAAAACCCAATTCCCCACTTCATTCCTGGGAGAAAAGCTCAGCTTGTGCAGCCACTAATCTGTCAGCTTTATGGTCAACATAAGCCCAATCTACTCCTGGCTATGACACGATTGCTATGCTTCAATGATGACGGTCTCATGTTTACCGATGAGGATGGCTCCACTCCCACAGAACTCTTTTAAAAAGGCTCAATTACATACTGCCAGATTAACCCACACTGATTCATAATAAGAGGACAAGGGCTGCTGCGGGGGAGCAGGGGCGGTCAGATTAATGAATGATCTCACAGACCACGAGAGCAGAACCGGTACGATGCGCAAGCTAAAAAAAGTACAGTTTGTAACATCGTTGCAAGGCAGTTCGATACAGGACCTCACTAATTCACCTAATTCCCCACTTAAATCACAGTGTTTGCAGACATCAAAAAGACCAGATGCTCTACTGTGCAGGAAAACAGGGTCCCTCATGACAGGGTCTCTGCTACATTTCCTGATCAGCTCATTCCTCCGTTTCCCCCTATCTCATACACACCCCTCACCCCAATACAGTACAATTAGTGACTGCCACACGGCCCATCAGCTTGAACCCAACAGCTGGTGTCAAGCAGAGGAGCTCCACATTCCCCATTTTTCGTCACCTCGTCTTTCGACTGGGCACAACTTCTGTCAGTCAATGGGACAACAGTGAGAACCTCCAATCACCATCGGTGGTACCTTTGGACGCAAAAAGCCAGGTGCTCAGATCCCTCTACAGCCAGTTTCAAAACTGGCCGATTCTGCACTCGAGCAATCCCAATATAACCACCCCACTGAGGATCTTTTGTCCAACTGCCAGATCCCAAACTCTGGAACTCGCTTCCTAAACTTCTGTCTTCTCCTCCAAGACACTCCTTAAAACTTAGCTTTCTGCCAAAGTGTTTCTGTACCTTCATTTGTGGTTTCAGCAAGGGGAGGGCCATGGAGCTATTTATTTCTCCAAAACATTAAAACCCAACCATTACTCAAGAGACATGAAACCTCTAGCCCTTCTGATTCTGGTCTACACAAGACTGCAGTCCAACTCCCCAGAACTAAATGATTAACGTTCTCCCAAATACAAGTGACAGTTTATTCACATGGCCCTACCAGTGACACAACCAGGGCCCAAAGATTCTCTACATAAACGCCTTCAAGTGCTGAACAATTACACAGCCAGCAACTCGAAACGAGGTCCAAACAAGCAGACCAATGCCAATGGGGCGAAGCAGCAAACCACACTCCGTGTCACGGTACTCCTTGGAATGTTTAATTACCTGAGCCACAGCTTAACAGCACAAAAGAGAAAAAGCCTTGTTGTAGTTATATGTCGATCCAGTTCACCAACTGTTGAGGCTCACCCCTCAGCCTTGAAACACGAGATCCACAAACTATGAAAAGCCACATTCTACCCCCCACAACTCTTGTGGAAACTGGACTCCAGTCTCAGGGAGTACGGCAGTACTCTTCTGAAGCTTACACATGTGCGCACATTCAGGCATGGTGCCAAGACTCTCACTAATATACAGCAGGACCAGCAACAAAAGCTGGATTGTATCAAAGACTCAGATCCTACCTAAGTACCAATTAGCACAATCCTGTGCTGATCTATACCTCACTGTTGTCTGCAAACCTGTCCAAGGATTGCAAACAGTTTGGTTCCCCCATTGTCTCATGTTGGGGGCTTCTATTTCCTCATGGGAAGCATGTCTGAAGGGAGCAATCTTCTCCAATCATCTCCACCCCGTATTATTCACAACACATGCTGAGAGAGTCATCTATTTTAAAACCCTTCTTCTTTCCCATTGGACAGTTGCTCGTTCAGATCACAGACAACCATTCACCTCAGGCATCCAAATCCAGCCTTCTCTAGGAATGTTTGATGGGGACAGTGTGGAGGGAAATCTCTTTGCAATTTGAAGAGCACAGAATTGGCTTTACCTTCTGTTTAAAAACAGTAGAGAAAACTATACTCTGTATCTAACCCCATGCTGTATCTTTCCTGGGAGTGTCTGATGGGACAGCACAGATGAATCTTTAGTTTCATTTTAAACAGCAGAGGGCTTAACTCTTTATTGAATACCAAGTTTTACGTGTCCTGGAATTATGAGATGGGGACAGTGTCAAAAGACCTTTCTTTTCAGTTTTAAAGGGCACAAACAATGTTAGTTTGTATCAAGTCTGTGTTGTACCTGTACTGGGAACGTTTAACACACAGTTTGAAAACACAGAACAGACACATTTTGTATCGAGTATAGGAAACATCCTGTAACAGAAAAGACCGAATTCTCTCAGTGGCAACGTGTGATTTAAGACCAAGACATACACTAGTGTGTCACAGAGATACATAGTCCCATCCAGCAGCTGGTCAATTCCAGCCTCAATTATCTGAAACCAAACCCTTTAAAGGGGTTTCCTGGTGGATGCCACGAAGTGCCAAAGCACAAGTGCTGTACAGCAGATTAGTAGCAGCTCCTAAAGATTCTTTCCTCCCTCCCTGTTCACATTCGCCCTTCACATTAAAGGCTCCTCTGGACTCCAGCATCCCTAGACCAAGTATTCTTCTCCAGAACCAAATCAGAAAAATAAGATAAATTCAAGACCCACTCTGCAGGATACAGCACCAGGCCGAAAAACTAAAGGGAGTGCACATTAATCGTTCAAATAAAAGTTGGTACCAAGACCCACGTCGGAGAGGAGCAAGAATCCACACTAACTTTACTAACAGGCAGACCAGATTGACTGGATGCCCTCACACCGAGACCCATGGGCACAAAATCACTGAAATTCTCTACAACGACTGCACTTCCAAAGTAGTTCAGTGGTTTACAGTAGATTGAGATTGTGAAAGGTCATACAAATAAACTAGGACACTTTTAACTGCCTCATAAGCATTCACATACGTGACCAAGGCTGGAGTAACCAGCAGTTACAGCTCATTGATCTTGAAGCAACAAGCCTAAGTGCTGCACCGAGTTTGTTAAACTCACTTATGACCATTATGTGATGCATGAGGGAGGAAAATAAATCCACGCAAAACTGAACCACCTTAACGTGCATGCGGCACGACCTTCAAAATGTGGCAAAGAAACAGAGTTGATCAAGCGTCTCGAAAGGGAAAGGCACCAGGACATTTAGAGAGTGAATTCCAGAATGCCCCTTCATTCCAAGTCATGGTTGTCAATGGTGCAGCAATGAAAAGCAGAAGGTATAGGATCAAGTGATGAGGTCAAGATGGGATTTGAAATCAGGGACAAGGCTGAAAAGAAGGTTAAAAAAAAAAAAAAAGGACATTCATGAGCACCCAGAGACATGCAGTCATTAAGGGCAAGTGACACCCAAGTACATTACTGTGGGAGTAAACAATCTAAATCCATCCCTTACTCAGACACCAGTGCAACAAATGGATTGCAATTCATGACGCAGCCAGAGTACAGCTAAGACATGGCCCAAATTTGAGTAGGAGGAGGAGTGTTTCAACAAGGAGATAGGGCAAAAAACCAGCCTGACCCCTCGAGGGGCACAGGACAGCAGAACACATTAGGAGGTCTATTAACACTCGATCCCACTATTGGTTATACAAAAGCACCCCTGCAGGCGCTGGCCAGCCACAATAACTCAGCAGTTGACCAGCCAGGCAAGACACAGTAGCCTGAATTTTGTCCCACAGAAAACCATGGAATCTGCACTTTTGCACATCCTAACCTACTATTCAGCCACCTTTAGGAAAGTTCTGCTGTTTGCGCCCTCACTCTCTGCACTTTGGGGATGCCCAGAGGTGGTGAAATACAATGCCTTCTATCGTACCTCGCTAAGCAAGCTTCCATCCACCCAGCTTGAAGCATCATCAACACACTTTCATGACTAACTCAAGAACGATGTCACAAAAACTTGCTGAGATGTTAAACAGGGCTGCTCGATGTTGTGAAGTGAAAACCATGAACCCAGCAGGAGATTAGAAAAGCAGGGTGTGTACGCCTGTCAAAACATTTGTATAAACAAGGTGAGCAAGGTGTGAACACAGGGTTCATAAAAGCTCCTCAACAATCAGGAAGGATCATTGTTCAGAGCTTTGCCTGACACAGAAATACGGAGCCCAGGACTCTACAGCATTTCACCTTTTTGTACGTACAAACTAGAAGTAGTCAGGCTAGTCAGCCCTTCACATTACTCAACCACTCAAAAATCAAGGCGTGCACATTAATGATCCATCTACCTCAGCTTTACATATACACTATGCTCTTGCCTACAATGCTGGCAGGAAATTAGATTAAACAGACTAATGGCCCTGAAGAGAAAACATTCTCACCTCCTTCTTCAATGAGACCCCTTATTTAAAAACTATGCTACCCTTTTGAGATAGAACCTCCACCCACCTCCCCCAATCCAAAAATAGGGTAACTCAATGATCCGAACACAATCCCAAGTGGAAAGCCACTAAAGGCTGTCCAAAGAATTAACTACAGTAAGAACCCAATAGCAGACAACAGATTAAATTTAATCCTCCCCATCAAGCCCAAGATCAGGTTAAATGTTCATCCTGTAAACTGCCCTTTTCTACATAAAAAACACCTTCTCAGTCACTGAAGGTCAGAGGAGCTCCAACCTGATGTGTTTGCCATTTAATCTCAGACCACAGTCCTGGTACGTGACCTACGTTTGGGCTGCTGTGTGTATGGTGGTAGTGATTGAACAGCAAGTGTCTTATCTTCAGAAAATGAAGAGGAGCAGTTTGGGAAGAAGGGTGGAGAGAACAGAAGGACCACACGTGCACCAACTGCATGCAAACAGACCATGCACACAGCACCCCTCCACACACACACCCTGGGGACTGGGAAAAGAAACGGAGAAGGGCAAACCAGAGATATCAGACAGCATTACCGAGCTGCACATCAATTATGCAGCTTTTTAAAAGTCTTCACTGGCTGAAGCTCATCTTTTCTACAATCTGATACAATTGCACAGTTTTCGGTGTTCTGTTGCAGCTGTTCTCCGACAACACCCGGAGCAGCAGGTTGGAAACCATCGTCTTCCCCACTTCTCTCCCAAATCTGTGGGTTATCATCCTTCCCTGTTATTCAGTAGCTGGCGATGATTAGTTTACATCAAAGCAAAGGGAAATTTATATGAGTACAATTGCATACCTAAATTATCACAGTCACTCTGGAATCCAAGCCAAAAACATGATCCACACCATTCCATCATAAACCAGAGACACTGGTAACTGTAAACAAAGCTCCCTCTAAACTGAGTGTGTAACCCAAGCAGCAGCACTGCGAAGACTGGGAGATTAGCCAGGAGTATATGCAAACAGTCGAGGCTACAGGTAAAGGAAGCATTCCAAAAGACAAACCGTCCACCTCAGAGTCAAGCGACAGTACAGAGTGGTGGTCAGTGGACTCGAAAGAGGGTATGGAGTGAAAGCTCAATTCAGGGACTGCCACTGCAAACAGCCAGCTAAGAGTGAGACAATAAAGGGGAAAAGGCAGAGGATTGTCAAGATATCGAGCCAGGAGACAGCAGCTTTTGACACGTGGGTTTATATCAAGGTCTTGGAAAGAATACAGAGTATAATCACAAAAGTAGCGGGGACGGGGTGCGGGAAATTTGAATTACCCAGGAGAAGCTGGGGCTATTCTCCTGCAATCACATAAGCTTGAGAAAACTTCTAACAAAAGTGCTCAAAATTAAACTGCTTGGCAGTAAAAGAGAGATCCGCTCCTGAAGCTTTTGGTCTTGCAGTCATCAGCACATAAACTGCACATGCACGGAGTGTAAAACATTGCAATCGTTAGACGTGTGGCTTTTCTGCATTCATCCTGACAATTCCAAGGGAAACAGCTCTGGCAACGGTGTCTCTTTTCACCAAGGTTCATGCTGGCTGCGAAGGGCTTTGCCAGGGTAAAGAAAGAAAAATAGCTTGCCGTGGCAAATTAGTAACCAGGGGTCAGAAAATAAAAAAAATTTGCAGTGACTAGACAATCAGGGGAGTTAGGAAGAGAATTATTTTCCCTCCCCAAAGGCCAAATCACAGATTGAGATTTAAGTGTTAGATTATCAGTTCTCGATTCCTCCTTTAAGTGCTTTACTTAACGATAACTTCCCTCCTATACTGAACCGTTCCTCAACTAATTGAACCGGTCCTTGCTGCCAAAACCCATCGTACCTCTAACTAATGGTTAGCCCTTAGGTCAGTGCTAGTGGACTAACTGCCTGCATAGCAGATCCCATCCTCAAAATACAGCTAGTTATACCTCTGCTACAGACTCTGCCACAAAGCACAATGAGTGCCAGCAATAAGCACAGTCGGTCCACTCTTGTCAACAAACAGGGTACCAACAGGAGGTGAAAGGAAGTGATCAAGCTCTTGCAGCTGCAGCCCCAACAACCTAAAAGGGGGCCATAGCTCAGAATGCCAGCCCCACGACACTCACCCTGCTTGAACTCCTCCAGCATCATGTCCAGCCGGGTGTCGTAGAACACAAAGTGCAGTGGATGGCTATAGAACTTGGTGATTGTCTTGAGTGGGACACAGTCATCAGGGTCAACAAAGGCCAGGTCCTTGACGTACAGGATATCAACGATGTTCGACTTCTCCTGCTCATAGACGGGGATGCGGGTATAGCCCGTCTCCATGATCTCTGACATGGTGCTGAAGTCAAGGATGGCATCGCTGGATACCATGAAGCAGTCGTGGATGGGTGTCATGACGTCCTCCACCGTCTTGCTGCGCAGCTCCAGGGCGCCCTGGATCATGTTGAGCTCATCGGCCTCGAGGCCGTTGTAGGGGCCCGTCACCTTGAGCATCTCCAGGATCTTCTCACGGCTGTAGACCTTACCGATCTCCTGGCCCAGCACGCAGTCCAACACCTTGCTGATAGGATAGGCCAGAGGGAAGGTCAGCACCATGAAGAACTTGGTCAGCAGCACCGTGTGGGCACCCACCGCCAGCCCGTGCCGCGAGCACAGCGCCTGGGGCACAATCTCACCCAGGATGACGATGCCCACTGTCGAAGCCACTACGGTGACCCAGCCAGTGCCCAGGAGGCCATCCAACAGCACAGTCAGGGTAGTGTTCACCAGGACGTTGCCCAGCAGCAGGGAGCACAGCAAGTAGTTGCCCTGGCGGCGGACGGGCTCGATGCAGCGGGCGTGCCGCCTCTCGCTCTCGGTGCCGCAGTTCTGCACGATCCGCAGCTCCATGGGGTCCAGGGCCATCAGGCCCAGGTTGAGGCCGGAGAACATGCCCGAGAGCACCAGCAGCAGTGCAGTGAGGATGATCTGCAGCCAGAAGGGAAGCAGCGGCGGCGTCTCCTCGTGCACCCTCAGGCGGCTGTCGGGCTCCGAGTGCAGCAGCCAGGCCGAGTTGGCCTCGTCCCCGGGAGGGCGGCTGCACAGGCCGAACAGCCGGCTCTTCTCCTGCTTGCGGAGGGGCTGCACCCGCACGGTGAGCAGGCCCGACGTCTCCCGCCTCTCCTCCACCCCGGGCTTCACCTCCAGGTCGCGGCTGCGGGAAGGGCAGGCCCGCCTCACGCTCCTGTTCGCCGAGCTCTCCTCGGGGCCCAGTTCGGCGAAGCCCACCCTCCTCCAGGTGCCGGCGTCGATGCCCCGGCCGAAGATCCGCAGCTTGACCGTCTGGCCCTCCAGGACCCGCAGCACCTCCCCGGCACCCTCCACCACCGCCGCCGACCCCTCCTCCTCCTGGAGCGGCCTCTCCACTGCCACCAGCCGCAGCCCGTAAATACCGGTCTCCAGCCCTGTTTCGTTCGACGCCTCGGCCCTGCCCCAAGCGTGCAGCAGCGTCGCCAGAGCCGTCACGGCGGCCGCTAGACTACAGCCACAGCTCCGCCGCCCCGCCAACAGCGCCATCTTGACTGAAACTGTCCTTGCCCCGCCGCCGACCCTCACCTCGTTCCACCGATGGGCCCGCCCCACCACTCACTACCTCGGCCAATCCTCCACCACCTCCCGTCGCCCTCTCCAACTCCATTGGCTGTAATGCGTGCCTGTCCGGGTTCCCCCTCCACAATTGGTTGGGACTCGACACCATTTCCTTCCTATTGGTCACACCGTCAGGCCCGACCGTTCAACGCCTCGGCGAATCGTGAACCGTCTCCCACCCCAAGACTACGTCCATTGGTCAATATGCAACTCAATCGATGGTTTCGTGTTCCCATTGGTTACTCGTCAACGGTATGCCGCATTCCTATTGGTCATCCTCTGTCACACGGCCCCGCCTCTGGACCGCCTCCTTCACCGCCTCCACCAATCTAAACGTCGTCCAGCCTCGTAACCTCTCCCAATGTAGTCTGCATGCTTTTGGCCGGTCCACCACAACTTCTTGCTTTCCCATTGGTTACCCTAACAGTCACTCAGTCACGCCTTTCCTTCCTATAGGCTACGTGGACGCCAATCATTATATTCCAGGATTCTATTGAGCACCTTCCCACTTCCCGTCCTTAGGCCCGGAATCTATTGGCTCGAATGGTATCAATCAAATGATAAAGGGGCAGAAACAAATTGCGGTAAAAACTCAACGAGACGTGGGCTCAGAACTCACGCTTCCTCGGAACTCAGAGAGTTCAGAACCACAGGGAGAAGTGGACAGAGACCATCTCAGAAAGCCCTGCCCAAATGGTTAAATATTTACACTTTCGATATTTATTCTTTCACGGGCCAACATTTGTTCTCCATGAAAACCAAAAGAACTGCGGATGCTGTAAATCAAGAACAAAAACAAAGTTGCTGGAAAAGCTCAGCA